GCAATCACTTGCTTCCCACAAAATTATCACGCCTATATGAATTCTAATGTTTATCATAATGTGGTGAGAAGCACTGGAATGCAAATGCATCTTAGAATATTTATCTTTAAGTCTCTTAAACCAATAACTTTGCTTAGACAATGCAATTATTTAACAACTGTGAACCCTATGATTCCCGAAACTATAGCACCACTATTTGTCCATGCCATTTTTAGCTTTATTTTCTCCTGAAGTGTGTCTATCAAGTGTCCTACAGGCGTAGAAGTAATACGATTAAATAAATTGCCACTTAAGGTGTGTATAGATCGGCTCAAGTTTATTTTATACCTGCGTCAAAACGAGACCATTCCTCGAACTTCTTCCCTGTTTCCGGAGCCAATCAAAAACTACGAGCACATTCATCTGTGTGGCGCCCGTTCACTTGCAAATTCATAAAAAATTGTATTAAGTTGTACATAATTATATATATATTTACTTATTTAACCAGCTACGGTCCGTCGGCTTAACTAATTGCAAGTCTCAGCTAGATATTTTATGAATATCTAATCCTTTAGTCGAAAAAGTATAGGATCATATCCAGCCATCTACCGTAAATTGGGTATGCAATCGTCTATTCATTTGGTCCAACATTATTTCTTGTAACCTTGACATGAAGCTTTTGAAAATATAAACTCGCTTCTGTTCGGTTAGTGAGTTAGACATCGCATGTTGATCTGCCAACGATGAATTTTACTAAAGAGTTAACCTTGCCGAGAAAATTCCCTTTGAAAAGCTTCAGAGAGCCTGTATTCAACGTAGACCACCATGTTTACCTTACCTGAGCCTCATCCGCCAACTCAGAGGAAGATGAAACCAATATACAGAAGCTTGCTAAGCTATGCATATACCGAATGCTATAAGGATTTTACTCTAAATGGAGACTACTACTTAAAGAGTTGGGAGAACTCAATATAAAAGGTATAATCCATGCATATGGATTAAAAGGGGTTCACCTCGCACAGAAGATTAGCTTATTTATTGTCGAACCCAGCATATAATCGCCATTATAACTCATGATTATGATTGAGTTCATTCAAATCTTTTAGAGCTTTTTGATCTATTTTCAAATTTAAGTTACTTTCAAACCAAAACGCGATTTATATTTTATTCCATTTTGTTAATATTAATAGAGTCTCAGAAGCAAAAACCCTCCTAAGAGGAGGATTATCTCCAGGTTTATTCACAAAGCTATTGAGTACCTATTTCCGTTCAACAAATATAGCGACTCTTTTTATTCTCAAATATAGCATATAATAATATAGGTGATTTATAATTTTCTAAGGACTGCCTAAATTTTAACCATACCCATTATCAGTCAATAACTACTTGATTTTCTTTTATTAATATAACCCTAATCAGGCATGTGGCTTTGCTCCAGTTTTCTGAATTGGCCCACTACGCTTTATTCAATTCATCCACTTTTACGATGATAAAATCGGTGAGTTCAGTCTTTTATGCCTTATCTGCGGTCCTATTACAAATGAATTTTTACTCATCTAAAAGGGATTCCCTGTTTAAAATACTGTGATGCCATGTGAGGCTTGGATTATTCTAGACCCATTTATCACTTACTCCGATCGTGAGCTCATTGTTGCCTCTCCAGCGTCCAAGTCGGTCAGCAAGGAGGCCTCTCTGGGCTCAAGGTGGGGCTGTGGCGCAGCCATCTGAGACTTCCGATCCGAACCCTGACCCGAACCAGACTCCACCTTGACATTCATCATGTCGTCGTTCACTTTCCTCCTCGACCCCGTTAAGTGTCGGCCTCCTTGTGGGAACAATGATGCTGACGATGATGATGACAGATTATCCGGGTGGACAGAAGACGACACAATAGACGGCTGCAATTGAGCCGCCAGCCGTGAAGTGGAAGGTTTCCATCTGGGCGGTCGGAGTCTAATCGCTGCCTGGCCCATGGCCAACAACATGCTGAGTCGGGCATGAGGCGCCGTTTGGTGAGGTGCATAGCAGACGTGGACTCTGCCCTCTTCACAAGTGGCTGAAACTGGAAGAGGCCAAGGTGTGTTAGTTTACCGAAGACTGAGTGGGAAGACTGGGAAAAAGAAAGACCAAAGTGTTGGGAATGGCTGAATTATGAGAGAAATAAGAGACGAAAACTGGTGGATCCTGAGAGCGTTTGAAAATAAGAAGGAATAGACGATAAAATAAAGGGACGTGGTAATAAAAGAAATTGCTTGAGATAAACAAAAACGCAAACGATTTTTGACTATAAACCTGCCCTTCCACACTTGCACACATATTTAGAGAATAGAAATTTCACGAATTATATTCTCTAATTAAGTGGGCAACTGTGGAAGCGTAGGATTAGACCGGAAAAATAAAAAGATTTAGCAGGCTCCTCTGCGTTTTTGTGTCCCTTTGTTTCTTCAAATACTAGGGTCATAGCCACAAAATGACTGATACAAGGGAAATTTGATCAAATTCCTAAAAATTGTAAGTGTTAGAGAAGAGTCTAAAGAAAGTTCATTCGCTTTCTGATATGAACGTTTGTAGTAGGTCCATTATCCGTCCATTAAATAAAAATAAAAATATATATATATATATATATATTTGTATTTTTAATGGAAAGGTAATGGACATAAAAGTATAAGAATAGTCTGTATTGGTTTATTGTTTATTGTCAGTCTCGACTGAATTGCCAAGTATGGTTTTGTCAAGGAATACGACAGATTCGACATCCTCTCTTGACAATTTAGATTCCTTTCTAAAGCTCACTTAATTGGGTTTAGATATCCACTGCAATTCAAATAAGCATAAGACTGAGCAGTTTATCTGCCCAACAGCAGAAAACTTATGGACGTAAGAATGGTTAAATGAATAGTCAATAAATTTCACCATTTTCGTTCATAAGTAGGGTTTCTAAACTACCAGTAAATCAGTTATATGAGGTGTATTCATACTATATATTTCATATAAAATTTACCATTGTTGTTTTGCCATAGCCCAACACTAACAAAAGTAGAGCTGAGAGGACTTTCATTTTGTATGAAAGTGCATAAAGAAGAGATTCGCTGGTCGATCTCACTAGATGAGGAAGAATGAATCTCGCTGAACTGTAGCTGTTTGGCTTTTATACGATGTTCATGTTGACGCTTACTGTCTGACTAAGGTTCACAAGGAGGGTGTTCCTCTAAGATTAATTGTAAATAATAAAGGAAGAGTGATGCATAAAGTCTCACGCTTTTTATGCATACAACTAAGGAACTCTGCCCATTTTTGGCTATATTCTGTTAAAAATTCATATGAATTTGAGAAATTACTTGATTAAGAGATATTTCCAGAAGAGGATAGGCTAGTAAACTTTGATATTTTGTATATGTAAACATACATTCCTGTTCAAGGAGCTATTCAAGCTCTGATACAAACTCTAGAGGATCATTCAGAGATAACACAAGGAATAAGGCTGAGTGTAATTTCTATAATTAGACTTATTATCCTATCCATGAGTACCACATATTTTACCTTTGATGGGATCATGTCTGTCTCAAATTTTAGCGAACAATTATGTGGAAAGACTGGAGGAACACTTCCTGCAAAGGCAATACAAACACCCAAATTGTTGGTTAGATACATGGATTACTATTATGTCATCTGGCCTCATCGTGAAGGAAGTTTAGATAATTTCCCAGATTCACTCAACCAGCGTGAAAGGAACATTTGGTTCACGATGGAAATGGAAGAGAATAAGTCCTTACTTTTTCTGGATGCTCTCATCCTTAGACAATGAGAATCCAACATATTTTGGTTCTTTGCTTAATTCTCTTTTACCATAGTTACAAGACTAAGGTTGGAATTTTAAGGTCAATGATTCCTAGAAGTATGAGGCTAGCGGATAGCAAACATTTGACTAAATAGTTGGAACGGCTGACAAATATATTTCTGGAAAAATATTATCCTTTGGGCCTCATTGAGAATAATATCCCTTTACTGAGGAATAAATTTTCAGGCAGAGACCATTTAGTCAAAGAGAGACAGACTGAGACCTTTTTCCATGTCCTAATTTTGCCATCATACCTTCTCTCGAAAAGGATAGGTGAATTAATAAAGAAGTGGGGCATTGAAACAGTGTTCAAAGAAACCCTCACACTTTCTTCTGTCATGCCATCATTTAGAGAGAAATATGACCCATTATCGAGATCCGGCTGCCACAAGATTGTTTGCTCATGTGGTTAATCTTGTGTTGGTGAGACATGCCGACTTATTCGACAAAAATTGGGAAAACACAAAAATGCTTGCAAAGGAAGCTGGGTCCAACGGTCAGAAGTGGCCGAAAACATGGTAGATACTGAACATGAAATTAAATGGTCTTAAACTAGTAGGTTTGCTGATTATGGTACGTCTGTGGTTAAAAGAAAGAAAAAATAAGCTATTGAACTTAATGGCTTTGGAAATAAATTGAATGTGAGGAACGGAGGTAGAATGTTTAGTATGAACTACTCATGCTGGATTGATAGATTGAAAGAGAGAGAGGTTGTTGAGCTACCCTAAAAAAGAAGGCGACTCAATTTATC